AGGCAGGTGGTGACGAGGTGGAAAACTTAAAAAAGTGTCACATTTGACGGAAGGAACTTGATTGTTAATTTGTTAGTGTGACGGACCAGAATGAAAGACCTTAAGTCTTTCATTAGTTACTTATCTTATTCCTAATGTACATTTAACATTTCCTGAGATCAAAATACAACTTTTAGTTCATAATTCCAGAATTTAAATGTACGTTCATGTTTAAGCATAAGAACGTGGGGCTACATTCGAAGTTTAAATGACATTTTGAAGCAGCAATTCCAGACCGCTGTATCCCATGAACTGTCTCCTTAATGGTGGGCATAACAATTGTAGTTGCAATATGGAGGCAGTTTTTTTTATTGTTAGTGAGGTGGGACTAAGTCCCTTGTACTACGGCCACATCTGGCCTATTGTATCAGCCCCAGATGATATGTGAGGGTGATTGTGGAGCAGTTGGTGGAATGAAGATTGGCAGGGGAAACGGAAGTAATTGGAGAAAACCTGCCCCAGCTTCACTTTGTCCACCACAAATCCCACTTGACCAGACCCCGGATCGAACCCGGGCCGCCGCTGTAGGAAGCCAGCGACTAACCGCTTGAGCTATGGCGCCGAGTGCCAGATGCTCTCTTGTCATATAAATGTCTCTGTATTTCGGACCCTTCATTGCGTCACGTTTACATTCATGTTCTAATTGATTACTTTTCATCTGTTGTGTTCAAAAGAAATTACTTACTTCACATCAATTCCTATTTACTTTACATGCAAGACATGACGACACATGTCAGAATATAACTGAACACAGCTTTCATTTACAATAGCATACTTGTCATTATCCAAAATATACTGTTTTACAATAATAAGATTCCCCACGGTCTTCTGTTACATAAGTTTACGTTCCACTACGCTTCCTCACACTGATGAGTGTTAAATAAATTAAGAATAATAAAATATTTTATTTAAGAAATAAACATGCAACAAAACTGTTCAAGGATAAACACAAATATTAAAATTATTAAGCCTCAAATGTTTACATAAGCAAGATATATACGAGTTTCAATAATTGTTTATAAATATTTTGAGTGAAATTAAGAATTTATTTCTTCTAAATTAATTATTTAATTTTCTTACTTAGGACTTTGTTTAATGCACGAAGCTCCAGACTACAAAACAGAAGGAAACGATTCTTTAATTAAATTTACACAATATATTTCTGTGGATTTTACTTATTTGTGTATTTATGTTACATTTGCGATTTTGTCAATAAATGACACTACATAAGGTCGAATGATATGATGACAGTAATGAGTTGGGAAAGGATATAGAATGAAGCGGTCGTGGCCTAATTAAAAATATCCCGAAATCTTAACTAAGGGAGTGGAGAACACTAAGGGAAGCCTCAGTATAGCAGACATCTTGACCTTGAAACGAAGGAGACCTCTCCCGAACACAACACAGAATTATCAGCGTTTGGGCAAACTTATTTCCTGAATTTCTTGTTCACATTATATGCAAGGTAACCTTCGTCAGTTCACATGTGCCCCCGCATATTCATCCTCCGAAATTACTTCAACGATTTCAATCGAATATCATGTTGGCGTCTCTACATTACAGGTAGTGCAAATGTGATGCTAGTTATTCCAGTTCTAACACAATACTTTATACAAAACTTGAAATTTTGTGCTTCTCTGATTTGTAAATTACGAGAATTAGCCAAACGGTTATAATTAATTGTAGTTACTGTTTGTAAGAGTTCAATAAATCCACTCATGGATTTATACACCTTCTACAGTCCTGTGAGTTGAGGTTCTCACACCGGTGACCACGAGGATGACTGTGTTCTGTTACCTGATAAATGTTTCACAGCATGCTGATACTGCAGATAGCAACCTCCAAAGACATGAACATTATCAGAAAACACGGAATCACATCCCAGAAGGATGAATCTTCGTCATTGCGATTCATGCAGTTTGTATCTTTATTTTTCTTGGCACTACAGCCCCAGTGGGCCTAGGCCTACCTCCATGAACTTCTCCGTTCACTTCGGTTTTTCTAGATCTTACACATTCGGTAGGACTCCTTGGGCGAGTGATCAGCTCGTCGCAAGGCCTCTACCTGTAGACAAACACAGAAAAACGCACACAAACAGCCATGCCCTGAGTGGGATTCGAACCCACGATCCCGGCTTCCGAGCGAGCAAAGACAGGCAGTTTGTATCTATTAATCTGAAATACTGTGTTCGTATTTCGAATAACAAACTCACGTGTCTGCAACAGACGAACACAGAAGTCAAAGAGATACAAAGAACCACGTAGACGGAATTTCGAAGTTATATGGAATACTTCAAATTGGATTTGGAAACTTGCCAAGTTCCAGGAAGTCACTGTTCAATACGCCGCGTCAGACGTACAACAACCTAGTTGAAAAGCGAGATATTGCAATATTATAACAAGACGCCTGCAAAAGTGATGTTTCAGTTCGAGATGAAATCGAAATGAGAATCTGCAGAAGTTACGACATCGGATCGGAGAACAGGAGCATTGTGTTCAAGGCCATATTTTTACTGCAATGACAATTCATAACATTATTCAGCTTCTAAAAGTATAGGTCCACTGAAGTGTGGTACTTATCCATTTTGATAGCGTAGCTGGTTGAGGCACTATGCTACAAGTCGCGGGTTCGAGTCCCGATGAGATGGATTTTTTTTTTCAATTGGTCTAGTTCTTCCAGCCACCCTATTGTCCTAGGGTCGACTCAGCCACTAAGAGAAATGAGTACCAGGAATATTCATGGGGGGTAAAGGGCGGCCGGGGTGTAAGGCTGACAATNACTGAAGTGTGGTACTTATCCATTTTGATAGCGTAGCTGGTTGAGGCACTATGCTACAAGTCGCGGGTTCGAGTCCCGATGAGATGGATTTTTTTTTTCAATTGGTCTAGTTCTTCCAGCCACCCTATTGTCCTAGGGTCGACTCAGCCACTAAGAGAAATGAGTACCAGGAATATTCATGATGGGTAAAGGGCGGCCGGGGTGTAAGGCTGACAACCTTAGCGCCATCTGTGAGCCGATTGTCTAGAAAATGTGAGAGCCTCGATGTCTCACAACACTATGGGCCTCCATGGCCTGTTACAGGGGTAGCTTTACCTATTTCTACAATGTTATATTTCAGAATCCTGTTGCATTAAACTATCATCCGTGTTTTCCGTCCATAATGTAACACACTTTTATTTTAGATGACACCAAACTTGCACTCAACTCACAAAAATGTCAGTTAATTTTTTTGAATGTAATTAAAAGCATACATATACACATATATATATTCTATGGNGTTGCATTAAACTATCATCCGTGTTTTCCGTCCATAATGTAACACACTTTTATTTTAGATGACACCAAACTTGCACTCAACTCACAAAAATGTCAGTTAATTTTTTTGAATGTAATTAAAAGCATACATATACATATATATATATATATTCTATGACTATATGTTTCGGCCTCATAGGACCATCTTCAGGCAACACATTTTGATGGAACTGCACTGTGCCCGCTTTTGTATACTCGTTGATGTACTTTGGCATTGTTCCCAATTTTGGTGTTATGAGAATGTCTGTACTTTTCCAATCTTCGTATTGCGGCGTATTGCCTGCACTGTCATTCTCATAAAAGGCAAAAAAGTAAACCTATCTCTGTAACAAGCGGTGGAGGGCCATAGGGTTGTGAGACGTCGAGGCTCCCACATTTTCCCTAGACAATCAAGTTACAGATGGCGGATGTTGTTGACAAGTCGATATATGCTAACACATACACTAACTGAGTTTCTGATGGAGCTAATCTTGGTTCTATTATATAAATCAAAAGCAGTTAGCTGAGAATTATCGAAGTTCGAAAGTAAAATATCAACTTTCGAATCAAGATGGGGTTACTTTTTTTTTCTTATTTCCTCTCGAAAATTCCGATCTCGCCCATGGCTACTTTAGCTCTCTCTCTCTCTCTCTCAACGCAAAACTATCCGACATTTATCCTCCGATATCCATGAATCCTGGGACAGTAATGGTGCATGAGTTCCATCACTACAACCTGCCTAACAATAACAGGTGTCAGACAGTATGGACAATAATTAAATTAGCTTGACAGGTACTTCTGTAGCTTGCCCTTCTTAATTGTGTAAATACTTCCAAAATAATGTAACGGTAAAATTAAAATTCTGAAATGAAGAAATTAGTATTACCATGACAATAAACTGTCAAGTGTTAAGACGTAAGAAAGTAATATACTGTCACGTGTCCGGGGTTTGCATGACGAATAATACGGGTTTTGGAATTGATGATCGAATTTATTGGACCTTTATATGCAACAGTTCACAAATCCCTATCTGACATACAAGCATCTTCCGACTGGACACTGCACTGGAACTAGTCTGACTTCCAAATGAACTGTCAATTATTATTGGCTTGTCGTTATATAGCCTCGGGTCGAACCACAGCACAGAAAACACATCCGTCTCGCAGCAATGGATGTCCTATTTTCGAGCGTATAACTTCGGGAATGTGTCCGAGCCGTTGCCTAGCAATAGCCATATGCGTCACAGTATGTACTAGACCACGGAGGAGCTCGCATCTTTTTATCAGTGTAAAATATCTATTCTGAGTACTGATAATGTTTTTATACGGATATGCATAGCATAGATTTTGATTGCTATACAAAGAAGATTATTTATGATTTATTATTTGTGTATGTTATACGTGGGATATGAGGGTGAAATTTCGGTCTCGGTTTAAAATTTTGTAACATGCAGAACTGGAATGAAATACACGAGAAAGTTGAAATCTTATATAACAATGATGAGGTTTCCAGCTAGATTATCGACGAATGTTACATTAATATAACAGATTCCCATGGAATATTTTGAATCTAATAACTAAGGTGATGTTCATTTAAGCCGTACTTTGTTTCTAGCTTTGCGTACTTATACCCAAGAAATTTAAAATACTATAAACCACAGACAGTACCTGAAATTTACGGATGGCAACACCACATCTGGAGCTCTGTACTCAAGTTTACTGTTCCCTCATCTTCTCCACTCATATATTCAGTTACCTGAAAAATAAAAATTACAAATTTTACTGTCATTAGTACCATGTCTATTATCACGACCACAACTACTATAAGCTAAATATACCCTTGTAACAGGCCATGGAGGCCCATTGGTTTGTGAGACGTCGAGGCTGCCATATTTTGTCTAGACAATCGGCTCATAGATGGCGGTAAGTTCGTCGCCTTACGGGCCTGCCGGCCTTTCCCCCGAGGAGATTCCTGGTACTCATTTCCGTCAGAGGTTGAGTCGACCCCAGGGCCGTATTGCGGCTGGAAAGATCAGGTCACTTGAAAAATCCAATGGCCTAATGGCGTAAAGTTGTCCCTGTGTTTAGAATTATTTAAACACGAATATATATTGTTGAGTAGAGCTATTTCTATATTCTTTAATCTTGGCACTAAATGGAAGTAAGTCATCAGCTTCACGTTCCTACAACTTTACCCCTGAGGAAGCTGCCTCCGGTATCCATTGTGTAGAAGGCTGGGTACGCCACAAATCCATCCTGCACGCAATGGGGAGCAGAAAAAAATCTTCTTGTTTGTCGGGACTCGAACACCAACTCCTCTGTCGTTCAATCTGTAATTTAGTCGCTATGCTGACTGAGCAAAACTGGTTCCACCATCACTATTACTCCTAAACCGAACCTCACTTTCTAGAGGGTCGCAAACCTGAAATAAGTATTGCAGGCAAAAACACAAACCATTAACCGTTTGCAGATTGACTGCTAAATTCTCTCTGGTCCTCGCCAGCATAGTGGTTCCTGTTTCCTAGTCCCACAGGACTCATGACAATATTTCGCTCTGTGATGGCTCTAGGAGCCATCGGAGCCGAATAAATAAAGACTGCCTTCCTTCTAAACACTATATAAAAATTCAGTCCTTACCTCACAGGAAACATATCACGTCTCCACTACAAAGCCCAACCGGTTAATGCTGTTTTATGATTTATTCTCTGTTTGAGAACCGTATGAAACACACAAATACACAGTTTTGGCAGAGTTTCATTATGTTAAAGGAGATGGTATATATAGTAACCACTGGGCTTTAAAGGGTTAAGTGTGAGAGATAGATGGGAGAACTGAACCGTGACAGGACGATAACCACCGGAACGAGGGAAGTTCCATGATTGTGATCTCTAAACCGTTCTACTTTATACTCTGCCCTACTCTTTCGTCCATTGCTCCACTTTGGTAAAATCATTTACGGGTGCTGTCCCGCCACTAAGCGGCGACTCTTGTAGTTTTATTGTACCGAGTGTGCTTCAATCCCATAATGCATCACAAACGATGACCAGCGCTTCTTAAATGTCCGTGCTGTGGAGACAGAGAACTATTGCAATTAACAGCTTCAAGTCACACGCACACGGGAGAATACTTGTTCCATGCGGTGTTTCAGTGGCTTTAGCAGTCTCAGAGATATAAACTCGGCTCATGTTTAATGGCACGAAAACATATCTTGATAAGGGTTCCCTTTCGTTCTCCTTTCCTCTTTAGCTTTATTCCTCTCTTTGTTGTCTACGTTGCTTTGTCTTTCCTACCTTACTCTGTTTTTATTATAATCACATTTTTTCCCCTTTAAAGTTTCTTCTTCTTAATGTACAATATATTTAGTCGTACTTATCTTCACTTGGTGTATTCATTACATCACTTCTAAATAACTGAACTGATATAACTGATCTAGCATATAGGACTATTATAAATTATTTGGGTGATTAGATATAAGTGTATTTTAAAAACAGTTGTAGATACAAACATGAAACAAACTGAAAACAGCAAGGAAACTCGTTAAGCTCCCTTTAGCAACATTGATTGTAACATATCAGCCGCGATTGGCGCTTCGATCGCTATCAAATGAAAATGGCGTCTCACATACAAAAGGGTGGGACAAGCAGGACACAGTCCATGGTCCCGAAGATCTCCGGACCTCACTCCATTCGACTTCCACCCATGGGTATATTTGATAAACTAGGTATACCAACCTTCTGATGCCATGGTTCTTTCGAGACACTCAGGGATGAATTTCACGGGGCGTAGCCAACGTCGATGAGACAGAGACGCGGCCAATACGGGAAGAATTCCAATATGGCGTGGACTATAACACACCAACTAAAGGAGTACATATCGAATACCTCTACATAATCTTAATATGTTTTCACGTGTTTCAGATCTATATCTTTAACAATTTCGAATAGAGGAGTACAATAATTTCTTCCCACCCAAATCATTCATAACAGCTCTGTATCTTTACCGGTAACAAGTTTCGGTTCAATCGGGAACCTGGATTACAACGCCGCATCTCATATTTATTTAGTAGGATCTGAGATTGTCATAGCTGCGGTATCTTCTGTGATATAATGACTGAAGTGCATTGAAAGCCAACCGACTGAGCTCTCATGGCTCATATTGTTGCGATATACGTGTATAATGACGCTTGCAGCTACAATGGGGTCAAGCTAAACACTCACATTCATCTAGTGCCAATGTAAAAAATGGTGGAGCTATACCTCCACCCCAACACGTCTTCGTGGCATAGTGTTCAATTAAACATGGGAACAACTTGACTTTTTTTTTCTTTAGCACTACAACCCACATTTGGGCCTTGACCTACCTCCATGAAACTCTCCGTTTCACTTTAGTTTACTAGATCTTACACATTCGGTAGGATTCCTTGTGCGGGTGATCAGCTCGTCGCAAGGCCTCTACCTATACACAAACACAGGAAAACGCACACACACAGACACACAAACACTAAACATCCATTCCCTGAGAAGGATTCGAACCCACGATCCGGGCTTTCGAATGAGCGAAGACAGTGCATGCCTTAGAATGATCGGTTACCGTGACCGGCCAACTTTACTTTTACCTTATATAAATTAAGAACAATATTACAAAGACAAAACAACTCCGTCCAGTGAGACTATTTAAGTTTTAGTACTTGAAAACTTAGCACCCTTACATGTTTCGGTCCTTATGGATCATCTTCAGAGTGATAACAACACAGCAAGCCACGAACAAACACAGGACAGGCGGCACAAGTTCAGCCCCCTTCAAGAAAGACGATAGGAGAGGTGACATCAACCAACTTGGTTTATAAATTTTAAGTTAAACAACAAAGTTTTAAAAACTTTTAATATACCAGGAAAGCTGCTGTGGTTGTGGAAAAATTCGATTTTCTGTATATTGTGTATTGCAGGCATTGTGTGTATATGTATTTTAGCACTCTGAACACCCATTGTGATAGTAGTTTCCGAACAAGTATCAATGTTCCCTCTGGAGATGATCCGTAAAAATCGAAACATGTAAGGGTGCTAAGTTTTGAAGTAGTAAAACTTAAATAGTCACACTGGACGAAGTTGTTTTGTCTTTGTAATTGTTAGTGTGACGGACCAGAATGAAACAAATCAAATTAAGAACAATATTATTATAGCATGATATTCTGTCCATTCCAGGTACAGAAAAAAAATCAGATTCAATATATTTTCAGTAATATTCCTTATAAGTGTACATATATATATTTTTTGTCTATGTGCCTAAGCCCTGACTTATTCTGTTAGTTGTACGAGTATAATGACAATGTATTTTCTCTGAGTGTAATATAAGCGAACATTTATTTCGTATTTGATTGTGCTTCTGGAAAAGAGATCGGTAATTTGACGTCAATTTTTGCCAGTTGACTCCGATAATCAATCGTGTACTGTGACATATTGAAGGAACTACTGAGCTGTAGAACAATGGGAACGTCAGTTCCATGTGTTACACGCACTGGAGCTCGGACATGCCAAGTTGAGGATAATCGGAAACAAGCTAATGAGAGGGACCTAGATGCAATGGAACATGTTTGAACAGGCCTCGCACTTAGCGTTGCTCTGTTATTGTGGAATGTTCAAAGCCAGGCTGCAGCAAATCCAGGCGCAGTGCGAAACGGATTCGTGTTTAGCTTTATCTCTGAGTCCGCAATCGAGTTTCTTTACATAGTTCCACCTTTTTGGAATGGCCTGAGATCGTATGAATTTGAATATAAAATTAATGGTCACCCTTTCGAGACCACAGCTTCCCTTACGTAAAACGTAAAAAGGTGAATTTGTCCCTGTGCTTAACTAATTAAACACTACTCCATGAAGGCGTAGGGGAGGGTGGAGGTATAGACACACATTTCATTAACCTCGGCACTAGTTGGAGGTAAGTGATCAGCTTCACGCTCCGGCAGCCTTGCCCTGGGGAAAGAGCCTCCGTTTCGCATTAGAGAGGAGGCTAGGTGGTCCCTAGAACCCTAATGACATGAAAAAGAGATAATCTTGTTCCTACCGGGACTGGAATTCCGAAGCCTCTGTCGTCCAGCCTGTAGCCAGTTGCTATACCGACTGAGCTCTCCCGGCTCTCAGCTTCAATTCCTTAGGCTTTTTAAAAGCGTTGGATTTGAGGTTCTCAGAACGTGATAATGAATAACACTCTCTTCTGCGATATAACGCCACGTAGTCCAGTTAAAGTCGATGGACGTTTCGGATGAACATATCATCTCCCTCTTCAGGGCTGAGGAGTAAGAGAAGCAAGGAACCAGCATGAAAGAAACTGCAAACAAAGCTTCACGCTGGTTTGCTGTTTGACTTACTCTTCAACTCTGAAGATGGACACTGTAACCGTACGTCCCTCGCCAAAATTATTTAATTAAAGGAATGAACAACTTATTTAATGTTTAACACCATGAGAGACGCTCCTCCGGCGAGATACGATCCCGGGACAGTCTAGTTGTAATTCAGCTATTGTCCTCCTTAGGCTTAGGGTGTCACTACTGTCCCTAATGTCGCCTGTTTGCTCCTAGTATCATAAACACATGAACTGACCTTGTGCGAGACCTGCCAGGAGGGGTCTTGGGTTCCCTGCTCGTGTGCCTTGAATACCTAGGAAGGTTTATGAGGGGCATCTCGAAAGTACGAATGTTGGACAGATATCCGGCTAGACTCATGGCTATCTCTTATAATTTTTCTTGTTTTATTTTATGCCCAC